AACAACTCATTGTCGAAACGAAGCTAACCCATTCACATAGTCGCAATACACATCAATACTCTTGATGTGACTACGGCGAAACTTTTAGGCATCAGAAAAAATTAAAAGAGCACCTTAAAAAACTGACGAAAAATCGCCCTGGGCGGTTTCTTGGTCCCAATTTATTTTTTTAAAAACCTGAACTGTTTTTAACGGCCCTGGGCAAATTTACGGCAGAATCCGGTATTATTGGTGCTGGTTAATACTTTGCAGGTGTTCTGGTCTTCTGCTAAAGGTAAAGGGTCTTTGTCAAAACTGCATTGTTTTTATTAGCGAAATAGCAATCTGCTTTTTACAAATGCAGTAAATTAAAATATGCTATGGTTTTTAAATGTTGACCATTTTCTCAGGAGAATTCACAGTTTGTCATTTATCTTTATGATCTTATGAATAGCCGCGAAACAAAATAACAAGTTTCATTCATCTAAAAATCTCTTAGTCGGCACAGCAACAAAAGTATGACTACCCCTTCTTCAGGTTAGTGAGCAAAATCTAGGCAGCAATTCCAGACATTGGTGGGAAGATCATAGGAAGTAGAACGATTGTCAGTTTATACCAAGGCAAAGATGACGTAGCTTAGCTTCTTCTAGCCAGACGAATACGCCATTGAAAACAGAATCACAGCATTTTTGTGTTTATTAAAGTGGGGTACTGACATGACAGAATATATGTCACACATATATTATATATACAATGGTAATGTTAACATTTGAAAACTTGAAATTGAAATTTCTGCAGTCAGTATTGTTTTTTAATTAAATGTCTGAAACAGCTTCTGAGCCTCCATACCACACCTCATCTCAGCCCCCCAATCCTTAACATCTCTTTTTGTATTTCATGGAATTCTTGACATGTGCATGAATAATGCTTTTATAAAAGGAAATGTGAGTTTCTGCTACTGAAATAACACAGTCATTTCCTGTCTTAAATGTGATTAAATTCTATTTTAACTTATGGTTGTGTAAGTTTAAACGACAGTGTGTGTTTCCTGTGAGATAATGATGTTCATACAATCTCAATCAAATCAGTATCCGCTATTCTTTGAATTGATGCATGTAAGGACAATATTTATAGTTACTATGGTGGTGGCCGGCAGTGATGATGATTTTCAGTTACCAACTTCAATACAGTTATGGAGACTCGTAAGTTCTTTGTCGTGTCCGCGAAAGGTCAACACGAACTGAAAGTCTTTTCCAGACTTTTTATATTATGGGTTAATTCTATTAGGATAGTAAAAGAAAATAGTAAAAAGTGTGGTCAGCAGAAAATTAGAAAGAAGAAGCCAACAACACATTTTCTACTACGAGTTTTAAATAAGAAAATAACATGTAAATGTGAATGCACAGTGTTTGCAGGTTTCCAAGTTGTGCCAAAAAAAAATTCCTATAGGTTGTTGGGGGAAACATCGGAGTTATACTCTCTATAGATGTGTTTAATCTGCCATTACATGTTGATTTTACTTGAAATACGCATGCATAAATGTAAATACTGAATTGGCTCTATTAGCAGTGCATGGTAAATTACACAGAATGATGTTTGTATGTTCAAAGTGAAAAATATTTTTATGATTCAGTATAAAACCAATGTGATTTTTACCTGGTCCAAATCATTGTAGATGATGGTCAAGGTACATGTATACAAGGGGAAAATGTCTGTTCTCG